TGTTATTTACAGCAAAATCCAGAGGTAAATCAAATTCTTTTAGATAAACTTAGAGGAACTTTGAAGAGAAACTTTGAGTTCCTATAAACAAACAGGAATTTAGAAGGTGATCACCATTATAATGATTTGCTCTTTAGCCACAACAAAAACTTGAGGAGTTCTGTGGCACCTTAAAAACTAAGAAATCATTTTTACTGAAACATGCGAAGTCCTCAAACTTTTTAGCCACTGTTCATAGTACTCATCTCAGACTACAGTTTTCCTGACCAGTTTTGTTCTTTATTTGCCAAACACGGATTCCCCCACCCCAACACGAACACCTTCTGTGTTTTGAATGGAGCTAAAATAGGATTGTACTTGCATACAGCAACCTCACTTTACATTGGAGTGGACTATGCCACTGGATCTGGCCCACAAGTGCAGCAGGAGGGGAGCCTCAGCCCAGCTCCCTGCCTGCCCCGTCCACAGCAGCTCTCTCAATGATGCAGGCGAAGGGGGGAGGAGATTGAGTTGCTTTGTGTGCTGCCCCTGCTCCCAACATAATCGTGCAATGAACCCTCCCCTCAGACTCGCGTCACGCTGAGCAGCACTCATGGCTCCCATCTGGCTGAGGAACCTGATGGCCAGGGCTGCTGGCTGGGAGCCACCCAGGTAAGCACTTCCCAGCCAGAGCCCTTTAGAAACTCTCTGGGAAACACAGCAACTGTTTTACCCCTTAAGGTCTGCATGAGGTATGTGGCACAGCAGGGCAATCTTCCTACCCTTCATGAGGTGGCATGCACAAGGAATTGCTTGGTGAGTGTTTCCTAATCCTATGGCCCTTCATGAGGTGGCATGCACCTCAAGGAAAACACAAGGAATTGCTTGGTGAGTGTTTCCTAATCCTATGGATTTCCAAGTCTTTATCTACTTTCCTTATTGTCAATCATTTACATAACCAGTAAATATAGAACTATGGCAGCAAACAGAAAGGCATTGGTAGGAATCTCCTTTTCCCTGCTGTTTCTTAGCAACAGTTATTACAACGAAAATGCCAGGACTCTTTCCAATGCCTAGATGTTGCTAAATTTCAAAACCCTTTTGTCTTGCAGAGAGGTTGTTATTTGTAACCACTTTCTTGAAGAGGCAGCTGAGAAAGAGGTCCATGGGAAAGCCAGGCTCCAAAACTTCATTGAGAATTTGTTGCAACGGGTTGATCTAGCAGAAAGACAACTAGAATATTATCAACATCAGCAGATAATGTGCAATTATAATGATGTCAGTGAGCACATGGTAAGTACACAAGACAGTCACCTAATGAATTATACTGTAGTTCAGTGCTCCAGGAAAAGTACCTGAATTTGAATGTGAATACATTCATCAAGACTGAATAACTTAGAACCCAATCAGATTTGAACTTGTAAAATGTTTGTCTTTCTGTGATCTTTTGTTTTATTTATGTCTCAGTAAGGGGAGATCAAACACTTCTGAATATTATAGAAATCTGAAAAGTTTTGAGTCATCTTTTATTTCAAACTTTAATATTCTATTTTAATTATATGGTAAGCAAGTTTAAATACAAACATAAGGTAATGAATTTCATGTGATAATTAAAAGTAGTGGAAGAAAAAGTGCCGTTTGCTTTATACATTCACAACTGCCACAAATTGCTGGTAGGGGAGCATTCTGCACTTAAAATTAAAAATTCTGCACACAATATTTTAAAAATCTGCAAAATTCTGCATTTTTGTCAGCACAACACAATATAATCAAACTGGTTTCAATTATTTTAAACTACAATAAAATGGATGGAGAATTGAAGTGGAGAGCATTGAGGAAAATGCTCAGACTCTCTCTATCCAATAGTAATGACCTTTTACTTCTAAACTTAAAAAACAACAAACAGTCTGGTATCACTTTATAGACTAACAAAACATATAGATGATATCATGAGCTTTCATGGGCACATTCCACTTCTTCAGATGACCAGAGTTTTTGCTTCTAGTTATTAGTCAACAAATATATACAGCCATCTGCTCAGTATTGTATCACAGGCAAGTCAAGAGCAAGTGAAGGCAGGGTACTCAAACTCTCAATTTATACTGGCTACCGACTGTCTCCAGAAAACTCGGTAGCCAACAGTTCATGGAGCAGATTTTGGTAGGAAATGTTTACGATCGAAAAATTTAGACCAGTTCTAATCACTGAAGCATCATAAGCACTTACAAGGCCACTCTGGCAATGCTTTTACACCTATTTTGTACTCCTGAGGGAATTCACTAAGAACAATTTACGAAGCAGGCAAGGTACTATGTTCTGTCTACCTGAGGGAACAGACTGCCCTTCATCTACCTCTTCATAAATGTACCAAAATTCTGCCCCTCCACACTGAGCATGCTGCAATAGCAAGCAAGAGGGACAGTGTGTTCTCCACATGCTGGTAATTTACATCTCTGCCAGCTGCTCCAGGTGCTCAAACCCATCTTCTTGCACTGCTGGGAAGGGGATGCATGGCCTCTTCTCTTTGGTACCCCCATCAGAAATCATTTTTCTGTGCAGAAACAAAAAAAACCTGCAAGAGCCATGAATTCTGCACCTGCATAGTGATGCAGAATTTCCCCAGGTGTAACAAAATGACTGTAAATAGTTATTTCTGGAAATAAATGCATTAGATACCACTCCAAAAATTACTAGTAAATGGACTGGCAATGCTTCATGTCTATCATTCTTTGATCTCTATCTGGGATTGATCACTAATGATACCTTTGTAATGTGGAAATACAGGCCACATTTAAATCAATGTGAGTTAGTTGTCATTCTATGAGGATCTGGGCCACAGTCCTTGAGAATTAGCAAAAGAATATCTACAAGTTACTAAGCAACCAATAGATGGTAACTCCTACCCACCTGGAGTGTATGCATAGCTTTAACTTATCAGTAAAGCTGAAAGAGTAGCTGTTATTTTGGTTCAAGAACTGAATAAAAAAAATCCCTCCTTTACATTTTGGCTCATTTAAAATCAAAATGGATGTTTTCAGGGTTTTTTGGGGGTTTTTTTTTGACAAAATGAAAAAAATTTAAATTATTTTGGGTCAAAAATCTTATGAAACGTAACTGAAAAATGATATTTTGTTTTTTGAGCATTTATTTTCACCCTTTGTTTCAAATACAGTTCAATTCTTAAATAAAACATTGTTTCAAATGTCAGGGTTTTTTTTGGCTGAAACTATGTCCCAGATTTGATGGAAATTCAAAAATGCATTTTTGGACAAATTTACCATATGCAGAAAAAAAGTCACTTATCTCTATCTAACAGTGAAAAACTCACCAATGACTTGAGTTGAAGTATCCATAAATGCAGCGGTACTGTACAGATATTTATGCAAAGTATTAAGAATTTCACTGTTTTTTAAAGATTTCAATACTATTCAGTGATGTGGATGGGAGAGCAACACATGTAGAAGTTCAGCCTATCCCAGTCCCATTCCTCTCCTGCCATTCAGCCAGAACTGCATTTTCTTTTTAAACAAATGATGAGCCTGGGCTCCTCAGTGTTAACAGGTACACACAGCCTACCTCCCTGCACTGCTGCCTCTGTATGATCATAGAATCATAGAATCATAGAATAATAGGACTGGAAGGGACCTCAAGAGGTCATCGAGTCCAGCCCCCCGCCCTCAAGGCAGGACCACGCTCCGTCTACACCATCCCTGACAGATGTCTATCTAACCTGTTCTTAAATATCTCCAGAGAGGGAGATTCCACCACCTCCCTTGCCAATTTATTCCAATATTTGACCACCCTGACAGTTAGGAATTTTTTCCTAATGTCCAATCTAAACCTCCCCTGCTGCACTTTAAGCCCATTACTCCTTGTCCTGTCCTCAGAAACCAAGAGGAACAAATTTTCTCCTTCCTCCTTGTGACACCCTTTTAGATATTTGAAAACCGCTATCATGTCCCCCCTTAATCTTCTTTTTTCCAAACTAAACAAGCCCAGTTCATGAAGCCTGGCTTCATAGGTCATGTTCTCTAAACCTTTAATCATTCTTGTCGCTCTTCTCTGTACCCTTTCCAATTTCTCCACATCTTTCTTGAAATGTGGCGCCCAGAACTGGACACAGTACTCCAGCTGAGGCCTAACTAGTGCAGAGTAGAGCGGCAGAATGACTTCACGAGTTTTGCTTACAACACACCTGTTGATACAACCTAGAATCATATTTGCTTTTTTTGCAACAGCATCACACTGTTGACTCATATTCAACTTGTGGTCCATTATGACCCCTAGATCCCTTTCCGCAGTTACACAGCAGTTCTGGGGCAGGGAGAGGTGTGGGGGGCAGGTGGGAGTTGGTACTCACAGGGTGGAGGCTTTTAAACAGGCTCCCTGAAAACACCAGCTCTCAGGGAGCTGCCTGCCTCCCCCAAGCTGCTGCCTCTGATGCAGCAGCAGCAGTGCAGGGGGTAGGGACAGGCAGATAGCTCCGCCTCCCCCCTCCCTCAGATGTAATCATGTAACAGCTGAAAATGTCAGTGGTTACATGTTTACCAAAAATGCATTTAACATCCCTTGTGAAGACCCGCTAAATCAACTGCCAATCATCCTCCTGTCAACTCTGCAACTCCTCTGAAATCAGAAGAGTAAAACTTCGTGACCTGCATCTGATGAAGTGGGTCTTTGCCCACGAAAGCTTATGCTCCTACACTTCAGTTAGTCTATAAGGTGCCACAGGACTCCTCGTCGCTTTTGCAGATTCAGACTAACACGGCTACCCCTCTGATGAAAGAAGAGTAAAGGGATTCAATGCAACAGTTTCTCCCATTAATCCAGCATGGTGTGGATCCCATGGTAATTAGATCTAAGCTACATTTACTAGAGTTATGCTACTA